GTCCTTTTACACATTAGCCATCACTAATGCTGCTACACTTAAGGCTTTTTTATTTCTGTATTGCTGTCACAAGAAGGCAGAAAAACTTTTATGTAATAGCACATGCTGAGTGAAAGTTACTCTGTTCAGAAGCATCAGGTGTCTCTTCGACTCCTAATGCATCCTGTTCTCTCCCCCAACCTAATAGAAATATACTCGATTGTTTCTTTGCCCAGCAGCACCAGCTCTGAGTGCATCTGAGTTCATTAATTGATCAAAAGGAAGATTGAGAAACTGATGTTTCTCTTATTCCCTCCAATCTCCATCTTGAAAGTGGCAATGCTTGTTATGGGTTCATGGAGAGCACAGGTGAGCCCAGTAGAAGACGTGGGGGGAAGGGGTCGCCAAGTTTACATCCAAGTTTACATCCCATTACTGCCATAATACTTATGGTTTTAATTAAAGGGTTAAAGGGCACAACCTCAGCATTGGTGTAGTTATCCTTTAAAAAATACCCTCCACAATGTGCCTAATCCTATATGGACCTTTTTCCCTGTTTCAGTGACACTTCTTCCAACAAGATTCTGGCCAGCACCTCCCAATACTACACATGTGATCCTTGCCCCTCTTCGTTTCTATGGGTAGCTGTACTCATGTCAGCCTCCGGGGATCACTTTGGTTTACCCATAGAAATGAATGAGGCTGCAGCACCAGTCAGGACTATTGTTGGAAGGGGCGTTACTGAAATGTAGATGAAGATAAGTTTAAGTTTAGACCTGCACGTAGCATTGTGGGGACATTGATTAAAGGATAACTTCATCAAAGTGAAATTGTCCTTTAAAGTGTTTTTTTTTCTTATATTCTATATACATATGTGCAGCAGTCCCCCCAGCCCCCCTAATATTTACTTGAGCCACTGCTCTTGATCCAGCGTTGTTCACGAGAGCAGCTGCTCTCCTAGGACTCTTACTCCACATTGGCTCAGACAGCATTGAGAGGCAGGAGGGAGAGTCTAGGAGCACTGGTGGGGACCTGAAAAATAGAGGGTCGGGACTGCTTTGTGTAAAACCACTGCATAGAGTAGGTATTATTTTAAAAAATACCTTTACTATCACTGAGTTTTTATATCTTTAATTTACACACATTTTATTTTCTTAATACACATGTAATAGATGACAATGAGTTCCTAAAAAACTATAAGCTATCTTAAAAAAAACAGCCAACAAAGATGCTTTGTAGTTTATATTCTTTTGTTAAGATTGCATTTACACATGTGTGTAGAAGCAATGAGAGGCTGGCAGTGTTCTCAGCTGTTTGCATGTCATCAGACATTCAGCAATTACCTGCGGATGATCAAATATATTGCCTGATTACGTGCAAATGTCTATGAATAGCTTCAGGTACTGTCAGCCTCTCACTGACATCCCACCCACAGCTGTTCATGAAAACCTCTCTGAGTCTCCTGCATGAACTATTAACTTGAATGGACAAGTGAATGGGACCTAAAACCTCTAGGATGAGTCACTGCTGTGATGAACAATTACCTTCCTCTCAGTGTTGGTAAAAGTGATGCATGTGAAAATGAGACTAGAGCTCTATCTGATGACTGGATAAAAGATTGCATTACATTAATACCCATAATTTTGTTTTTAACTACATCCTTTAAAAACATCACAAAGTGTGCTGTGGCTCTATTTTTTTATGTTCAAAATTGTCATTATTGACCCTGAAATTGGGGGAAAAAACATATTTGTATCGTACATCATGGGACACAGAGCAGGCAATTCATGACTATGTGGGTTATAGGCTACCTATAGGTGAATGAACACTGGCCAACCAATCAGAGAGGAAGTCCTCCCCTATATAAGCCCTCCTATACAGGAAGTACCTAATTTTTTTCACCAGTGTCTGTAAGGTGGATGGTCACTGAAAGTGTTGCTGTGCTCTTGGAGCATATCTGAAAGTCCACAATGGTTCCACTAGAGAATCAGGGACTTTAATCGGATCCATTCAGAAGGCTATGAGCTAAAATGGATGGTGCCCAAGCCTCGCTGGAAAAGGAGAAGAATTCTTCAGGTTTTGCTTGTAATGCAGCTTTACAGCACTGGACCACGCACAGATGGAACCCTATTCAATGTTTAAATCTGACCAAGGTACTTCCAGCAGGGTGCTATACAGGTCCAAGGCAGAAGCCCCTCAGCATGGGGACTGAGTCCTTGAAGGGGTGTATGACAATGCCCACCGTGATGGGTGACGGTTGGTGCCTGACAGAAGTCAGGGACCTGCGGCGGGACTGGTAAGATGTGTCCTTTTTCTCTCTCTGTAAAAGAGAAACAAAGCCCTAAATTGGAGGGAAAAGGAGAGGTGTTGGGGCTGGGAGTTTCTACGGGGGGGGGGGGGGGGGGGGGTCACTGTTGTTCCCGAGATGTGCTTGCTCTTTATGTTTTCGGACACTGGAGGGAGTGTGTTCGGAAACGGAATCGGCCATAGTTTGTTTATCTGGAGGCCAGGACACATATGGGCTCCTGCTGAGAAATCTCTTGTGGCTGGGACACGAAGCAAGCTATTCAGTAGGGGCACGTGATTACTCACCTGAGGGGGAAGCATGGACCAGTCAGTCAGAAGCTGCCCTAGGTGGCTCATAAGGCAGCATTTGGATTGAGTGTTGTTACTTCAGCACACTACTAACGTCTTCCAGAAAGCAGAGTGGAGGAGTTGCAGCAGGAAAGGGCACTAATGTACCACTGCCAGGTCCTGAGGAACCTAGCCAAAGGTCTGCTGTAATATCCTCTCCTGACAGGCCAGAAGCGACTGAGCAGTCTGAGCCGCTGCGTCTATCTGGCATTGTGTCTACTACTGGGGCTTCTGCCTCAGCATATGTAACCAAAGATGATTTTGCTTCAGTCTTAGCGGATTTAGAAGATAAGATCTCTGGGATAATTGCATCAATTTCTCTGGAGACTAAGAAGCAGGATAGATCCCCATCACTAGAACCACTAATCCTGGAGCAGGAATGGGTGGAACCTGAGGATGAGGAAGAGCTGGAGGAAGCTCAGGCAGTAAAATTTTTGTCTGAGGAGTCACAGCCTGAGGAGAAGCAGGAGGTCTCTGGCTTCCAGTCTCAGAGATTTTTAGTCCAAGACCTCACTGATATTGTACGGTCTGGATTCAGGCTACCTATGGGCAGCACAGTGGCTAAAAGGTTAGCACTTCCGCCTTGCAGCACTAGGGTCGTTGGTTCAAATCCCAGCCACAGCACCTTCTGCCTGGAGTTTGCATGTTCTCCCTGTGCCTGTGTGGGTTTCCTCTGGGTACTCCTGTTTCTTCCTACACTCCAAAGACATGCTGGTAGGTTAATTGGATCCTGTCTAAATTGACCCTAGTGTATGAATGTTAGTTAGGGGCCTTAGATTGTACACCCCTTGAGGGTTAGGGACTGATGTGAATGTACAATATATATGTAAAGCGCTGTGTAAATGGATGGCGCTATATAATACCTACCTGACTTAAATAAATACCTTCAATAAAAGCCTTGAGGTTACTTATTCTTCCCTGGGTTCTTTGAAGCCTTCACAGACTACTCAGGCCTTTCCAGTGCATCTCTTCTGGAGCAAATTATGTATGCTGACTGGGATCACCCAGACAGGGTTTTTGTTCCACCAAAGAGGTTTTCTGTTTTGTACTCCATGGGACAAACGTTTGTTAAGAAATGGGGGTTGCCAATAGTGGATGCAGCTGTTTCATCCCTGAGATCTTTAACATGTCCTGTGGATAATGTACAGATTTTCAAGGACCAAGCAGAAAAGAAGCTGCAGTCTCTCCTTAAGGCTTCCTTCTCCCTGGCAGGTTCTGCTGCACAGCCAGCTGTGGCAGCTATTGGCATTTGCCGAGTCTTTCTGACCATGTCAAGCAACGGATTGGAAGACCATCAGTGCACGGGGAATGCTTGACTGAGGATTTGGAGGATGTTCCGCGAGTGCTTTGTGTTTTTTCGAGGTTGATGCTCTAAAGGATGCAATGAAGCAAATTTCTCGCTGGCCCTCTTATTAGTGCACATGCGCAGGGTTTTGTGGCTGAAGAGTTGGTTAGCAGAACTGCCATGCAAAAAATTGTTGGCGGGTTTTCCCTTTCATGGGGAACGGCTGTTTGGGAAAGATTTGGACAAATATATCCAAAAGATTTCAGGAGGTAAAAGTACTCTTCTACCCTCTAAGAGGAAATGCAAACACTCTTCTTTTAAAGGTGTCAGGGGTTTTGGTTGCTGGGCCCTCATCTACCAGGCAGTCGTTTCACCACACACAGGTCCCAGCCTCCAGGGGTAGATCTCAGAATCAAAACTCAAGGAGGCCTTGGGTGCAAAAGTTGCCTAAGACAGATCCAAAATCTGCCTCCTTATGAAGGGGTGCACCAACTTGTTCGGGTGGGGGGAAGGCTTTTGAATTTTGTGACCGCATGGAGGGCGCTAATCCAAGACAAATGGGTAATTTCCATGATTTCTCTGGGGTAAAGACTAGGTATTTCCCTCTTCCCAGTTTCTAAAATCATATGTACCAACGAATCCAGGAAAGAGAAAAGAAGAGCTTTTTTTCAGTAACTCGATTGCCTATTGGCTCAAGGAGCAATAACGGAAGTTCATGTGGGCAAAAGGTTTCAGGGGTGTTATTCAAACCTGTTTACAGTCCCAAAACCAAATGGGAATGTAAGGCCCATTTTGGACCTCATGGGACTAAATCAGTTTCTATAAGTCCAATCCTTTCGTATGAAATCAGTTCGGTCAGTAGTGGCCTCCCTACAGGAGGGAAATTTTTTGGCGTCCATAGACATCAAGGACTCATACCTGCATGTACCGATATTCATTCCTCACCAAATATTTCTGCAGTTTGCAGTAGAGGCTCAGCATTTCCAGTTCATAGCACTACTGTTTGGGTTGCCCACAGCTCCCAGAGTTTTCACAAAAATACTTGCTCTGGTGTTGGGGCTACTCAGAACTCAGGGAGTATCGGTCAGACAGGTTATCTAGACCACAGGTGTCAAACTGGTGGCCCTCCAGCTGTTGCCAAACTACAAGGCCCATGAGGCATTGCAAATTGACAGTTACAAGCATGACTCCCAAAGGCAGAGGCATGATGGGACTTGAAGTTTTGAACAGGTGGAGGGCCACCAGTTTGACACCCCTGATCTAGACGATCTCTTGCTCAGAAATCATTCAGTGCCAGATATGAAGCAGGATGTGGTCCTTACGATGCAGATCCTGGAACAGCTGGGCTGGGTACTCAACCTCAATAAGTCGTCCCTGGAACCAGTTCAGAGCCTGGAGTATTTGGGGATGGTCCTAGACACGGTTCAGGCAAAGGTATTTCTGCCTCCAGGGAAATTTTGCACCCTGAGAATGAGGTTTGCAGTTTGAAGGCCAAGAGGTATCCTTCAGTTCACCTCTGTATGAGATTGCTGGGGAAGATGGTGTCCTTGTTTGAGGATATTCCCTATGCTCAATTCCATTCCAGATCGCTGCAAAAGTCTTCTGTCTGGAACAAAAAGATTCAGGCCCTGGATTACTGCATATCTTTGTCTCCAGAGGTGCAGCAGAGCCTGAAATGGTGGTTGATAAATTTGGAGAAGGGAAGATCCTTTCGGCCAGTGGTGTGGAAGTTGGTAACCACCGATGCAAGTCTTTAAGTTTGGGGGGTCGTTCTGGAGGAGGCCACAGTTCAAGGAACATGGCTTCCATGGGAAAGGCTTCTTCCCATCAATGTCCTGGAACTTTGAGCAGTGAGACTGGCTCTGAGATATTGGACATCCAGGATTCAGGGTTGGCCTGTAAGGATTCAGTCCGATAATGCCACAGCAGTCGCATACATCAAACACCAGGGCAGTACCAGGAGTTGAGGTGCTCAGAAGGAGGTGAACTACATTCTGACCTGGGCAGAGAGATATGTTCCAAGTTTTGTCAGCAGTGTTCATTCCAAGGTGTGGAAAATTGGCAGGCGGATTATCTCAGTCACCGCCGATGATTCTAGGGGAAAGGGCTTTGTATCCTGATGTTTTCAAGGAAGTTTTGTCAGCAATGGGGTTGGCCGGATGTACAGTCAGGTCCATAAATATTGGGACATCGACACAATTCTTCTATAATACACCACCACAATGGATTTGAAATGTACTGCAGACTGCCAGTGATTGCGAGGGTATTTACACCAAATCAGGTGAACGGTGTAGGTACAACAGTTTGCATTGCCCCATCTTGTTAAAGTGGAGAAGTTTTGTCACGCATAGACATCACCAATGGCTTGTTGCCCAGTTTGTGGTCCCTATCAGCAAGTGAAATGCATGCTCAATCGGGATTGATGCATACCATCTAGGGTCATTGTCCATCCTGCACTAGTGAAGCGGCGTCCAATGAGTTGTTGAAGCATTTGCTGAATAGTGAGAGGCTTAAAATTGCCCAACACCTGATCAAATCATCCTGTGCTTTTGTTCAGCAGTCACATCATCAATAAATACAAGAGGTTGCCAGCAAGACATGCCCATGACTTTACAACAAGGTTTCTTGGTCCTCATCTGTCCATAGGATTGTTTGTTGAAGGTTCACCCTCGCATGGCAGTCTTCTCTTGATTGTTGACTTTGATGTAGACGCATCCACCACAGTTTCCGTTAGTGATTCCATGATGGGTTTGTTTTGTTTTTTTCAGCCTAATGATGGCTGCATACACCAGCTCTTTGGTTCTCTCATGATTTATGTCTTTCCCTCCAATCCAGCTGCTGACGCCATTCCATGAAACCAGTGATTTATGTCTTTTCTCCAATCCAGCTGCTGCCACATCTCTTACACAGGATTCGGGAGGAGTCAGGTGATACTGATTGCTCCAGCCTGACCCAGAAGGGCCTGGTATGCGGACATAGTGAAGATGGCAGTAGACAGGCTGTGGGCCCTGCTGTATTGGCCAGACTCGTTGTCTCAAGGTTCTATATTGTACCCAGCTTTACGGTCGATAAATTTGAAGGTGTGGTTATTGAAACCCAGATCCTGAAGGATAGGGGAGTGTCTGATTCTGTCATCTCCCCATCATGTTGGGTGCTAGAAAGGAGTTTCTAGGAACATTTATTACAGAACCTGGAAGGCTTACATTGTCTGGTGTGAGGTTCACAAATGGCACCCACAAAAGTATGTGATTGGCAGGATTTTGTCGTTTCTTCAAAAAGGGTTGCAGAAGAATTTGGCTTTTGGTACATTAAGGGCCAGGTAAAAAAAATAGCATTAGCTATTTTTTTTACAGAGGCCCATTGTGTCTCACTCTTTGGTCCGCACCTTTTTACAAGGAATAATGCGTATGGCTCTTCCTGTCAGGTTGCCATTGTGTCCTTGGGACCTGAACTTGGTTTTGGAGGTTTTGCAAAAGCCTCCATTTGAACCTATTGGAGAGATTCCACTAGTCCTGTTGACTCGTAAGGTGTTGTTTCTAGTGGCAATCACTTCTGCGAGAAGGGTGTCGGAGCTGGCAGCTCTATCTTGCAGAGAACCATTTCTGGTTTTGACTTTTCATCTCAATCAGTACATAGTTCTTCCTTCATTCTGTCTTAGGCCTCAATCAGCAAGAGAGATCTCTGCATACCTTGGATGTGGTTTGTGTTGTAAGGGTCTTATTGAAGGCGACAGCACAGTCAGGAGGTCAGATGCTCTATTTGTGCCAGAGGGGCCTAGGACGGGGCAGGCAGCATCCAAGGTTACTATTTTTCATTGGATCCGCCAATTGATCATTCAAACTTATGGTTTGAAAGGTAAAGTCCCACCCTTTCGGGTGAAGGCACACTCCACCAGACGTGTGGGGACATCTTGGGCAACTCTCCATCAGGCGTCAGTGGATCAGGTTTGCAAGGCCGCTACATGGTCTTCAGTCCACACATTCACAAGTTTCTACCAGGTAGATATCAGAGCCGCAGAGGATTCTGCCGCAGTGTTTTACGAATGGCTGTGATGTACAATAAAGAAAATTGGATTTTTTCTACATACTTTCCTGTAAGACCCATTTCTTGGAGTACATCATGGGACACAGAGGTCCCACCCCTCTTTCTAGAATGTCATTGCTTGCTACAAAAACTGAGGTACTGCCTGTATAGGGGAGGTTATATAGGGGAGGACCTCCTCTCTGATTGGTCGGGTGTCCATTCACCTATAGGTGGTCTAAACCCACATAGTCATGAATAGCCTGCTCTATGTCCTGTGATGTAATCCAAGAATTGGATTTTACAGGTAAGTATGTAAACAAATCCAATTATTGTGAGCCACATGTTGTCTTATTATAATGAAGTCCACACAGAAACAGTTCATAAGACAAATCTGTTGTCTTATATCAATAATGGAGGACGTATGACCAGTGTATATTTATATATGTACTTTTCCCTGCAGCAACCAATAGTCCTTTTTTCAGAGAGATGCATTTATTTGGATAAAGATATTTGTTACAGATGACAGAAATTCAGCTGAATATTTGTAAAGATTACAATGAACAACAACCCTCAAAGTCCCATTCAAGATACTTCATATCAAGTATAAAGATACTACACCGTCCAGCATATGTCCAATCTACGTATAATATGCACCTAGGTAGCTTCCATGCATGCAATAATGTGAGTTATGACCTATACCTATGCTCCCATATCAATGACAGGAAAAAAAACTCCTTTTCCAGCTGAGGTACAGACAAGTAAGATGACAGGCAATCATTAGAGAACCTTCCTGTGTCCTGTCACCTGTGTCCTGTCACAGGTATCCTGACCTGTGTCCTGTGTTAATATACACATTTTCCCCATTCAGTACAATGGAAAGCACTCTGATTGGCCACTTTGATCTTACATGAAAAGACTTACTATAAATACCAATTAGGGTCACTATAGTCTTTCCCAGATAAACAAGTCACCCTTTCACCATTTCCCATAAATTGCCCCCTGGAGTCTAATTACCATCAATAAATACTTCTTGTATGGTCAAATCACATTCTTTATCATAAACAATGTACTCTTTAAAGAATGTTATTTACCATACTTAATAACTCTGATGGCCAACTCCTTTCAAGTCTGACTGAGTTATCTGCATTTTATCACCCTTATAGAATTGCAAATTACTTACTTTGAAGTGTAACAAGTCGACCCCTGAGTGTCCAGGTTATCTTGCATGAAATTAACATAGCAAACAATTCTTGCTTTTGTTGTGAAAAATACATCTAGCTCAGTCAAATTCCTGCTTGGTCAATAACTTGAGAATACACCACATAATATATACAGTATATAGATATATATATATATATAGATATAATTACAATATCCCTACACCACGTAGACCGATTTCATTTCATATAAGCGCAAGTAAAAATCCTAGAAAAATTACTTTTAGCATTATAGAGAAGTGTATTGTGTTTTTTTAAATATATATTTCTTTAAGTATGACTTATGTACTTCAGTGTTTCAATTTGTTGGTTTGCAACCACAAAGTTGTGAATATGGATTTGAATAACTGATTGTCAGATTGCACACAAACACAGCTGTTTAAGTTAGCCAAATGACTAAGAGTAGATACTTCCCCTTCTATTTTAAAGGTGTCTGTCTGGATCTTTAACTACTTTCCGTCTGCCTGCTGTTTTTTAAACAGCAGGGCGGTGGCACTCCAGGGGCGGGATCTGTTGCCGTTCATAAACGGCACCCGCTATTTCTAGTTGTGCGTGCTCCCTGGGAGCGCACAGCACCGTGATCCAGTGCCCGCTGTGTCCTCTGGACACAGTGAAACACCGATCGTCGGACGGGACCTCTGTACGAGGTCCCGATCATGTGATCACTCATTGGCCAATCAGTGATCACATGCAAGGTAGTAAGCAAGATGTCACTTGTGACATCATTGCTTACTACGTGTGAAATCTGTGAATGATCACAGAGGTCACATGGTACAAGGCTATTCACAACAGCCTTGTACCATGTGACAAGCTGTGACCAATCACAGCTCACTCAGTATTTCTCAATGACTGCAAGAATGCAGACAGAGATAAAGAGAAATGATTGCTTTTACATCCTATATGGGTGTAAAAAGCAATCACTGTAAAAAAAAAAACAAAAACAATCTTCATCACCCCCCACAAGTAGTACAGTGTCACCATGGTGACACT